GCAAAAATACTGGGATGGTTTCCCATTTCCTTCTCCTGCTCATTTTGCAGATGAGGAAATGGGTTAAAAGGGTTAAGTGACTTGCCCAGGGTCACACAGCTAGTAAGTGTCTAAGGTTACATTTGAACTCAGGTCTTTCTGACTCCAGGGCTGGCATTCTATCCACTGTGTCACCTAGCTTTTTATCCTGTACTTATTCACACTTTAATTCTGTAATTGCTTCATGTGTTTGAATCTCTTGCATTCCTTAAGGACTACTTTCTACTTCTCTTATCACTGAATACTTAGATTAGTTATAGACCTACTATTTGTGCTCAGGAAACACCTGTTGTATAAATGAAAGGCAAGTAGTCATATGGCCCATATGATTTAATTTTTCAAAACTACCCTGGAATAATAAGATGGGTCATCTGAATTGACTAGAAGAGCTCATATTTAATAATTTTGCTTTCTCTCTGTAATACTTAAAAGTGAGTGTGATTTAATTTTTTATTTGCCAACCCTGATTCTTCAATACTCTAGTGAATCAATGGTCTAATCAATGGAATTACTTTTTCCTTTGGTGTAGATCACAGTCCATCAGTGCAAGAATCCTGTGTGATTCTTGTTCTTGTCTTTCCATATTCCAGAGGTTACCCAATGTACTGAAAGACTTCTTTCAAGTCTTTTATAATTTAAGGAATACAAATATAATTACAAATTTGTCCCTCACTTTTTTCCTTTAGCTCAGCTTATCCCTTTTTTGTGTCTTTTATGCAAACAAAATATTTTCTAGAGCTTTCCTATAATTTATTGTATCATACATTTTTTTAAAAGTTATACTAAAAAGTTGAGAATATAGAATAATTTCCAACATTCTGAGGATTTTTAATTGGGGCTACATATTTATAAAATTAAGTTTATTAATACCAGTGTAGATTGCTATATTACAATACAACTATGCAGCATTTTAATCTCTGTATGAACCCTTTCAATTCATTCTCCCAATTAATTCTTTAGAGATTATATATATAATTCCCTCAGACCCTTTGGAGAATTTTAAGAGACTTCTACCAATACAAATTTATGTACAATTGCAAAAAAAAAATTCCAAAAGGGAGGGAGAAAAATCAGCAACTATTATGTTAAAATCATTTTCATCAGTTCTATAGCACAATATTGTAAAATGTATGTTTGCTTCTGGAAACACTCCCTAAAATTTCATTGTCCTGAAAGGATAAATTTGATATTTTAAATTGAATTTGCCATTATTGGCTTTCTTTACAACTTTGTGATACAGCATTTTGTCTTTTTTTGTTATATTGTTAGGAGGGGAAAAGTTACTTACAACACTGTATCTTAAACTTAGAATCTGAGTTTTAAGTAATGAAGTTGTATCCATCAGCCAGTAAGAAGGAAAAATAAAATCCCTTTCTGTGGGAAAACTTAGTGGTCTTCAGATTTTTTCCCTTTTGTAAATCTTTTTGACCCACATCACTACTCTACCAAGAAAAGATGTTCCGGTATTTTTATGGAATTGTGTGGAAAGGAAAGTCCAACAGACAAGAGAACAAACTGACACTGGTGATAAGTTGGGGTGGGGATAGAGGAACAAGTCAATAAGCACCCAGAACAGTCCTTCACAGTAATTTGTCACTTAATGAGTATTATTGATTTGCTCACTGTTGAATGCTATAAGGAGATGATAAGAGAGCTTGGGAGCCAGGGAAAGGGAAAGCAGTAATGACAGTGTGGGAGGAAGAGGTATGAGTAATTACTCCTACACATGCCCCCACCAAACATGTTTGGGACATAACAGCTCTGCTTACCAGTACTAGAGAACTGCCTTAAAACTCCACATAAATATGAGTTATTATTGCTGTTACTGCTGTTATTATTGTTCCTGAAGATCTCAGATATTAGAGACATACTGGTCTAGTATGGTGTTCTCAGTGAAGTTCAAGCATAAACTTGAATTTATGTGTCTTTTATTTCTCAAATCCTCTACTACATGCCTATACTTTGCAGTTTTGGTAGTGTCTCAAGTTCCTATCAATACTAGTTTCATTCTTCAATTCATAGATTTTTCTGAAAAAAATTAAGTAGAATGAGAAGTTGAGACACTGAACATTGGAAAGAAAATAACCTTCTTGCTAAGCTAATATAATTTTTACCCTTTTTTGGAAAAAAAAAAGACAGGCCCATGCTCGAATTCATTGTCTCCTTGGGAATCTTTAACATTTACATAGACATTCCAATTTCTTTTCCTTGGTGCATTGATGGTTTTTGTTGGTTTGAGTCTAGATGATTAAGAATCAAAGATCATAGATTGCCATCTGTTGATTTTTGGCTGATGAATTCTGGGTTGGTTCCCCATCAAGTGATTTCTACAGTTTGATTTTGTTATTCTCCCCTATAAAGCAGAGATATCATAGATGACATCTACATTTTGCACTTGAGCTGAGATGATGAACAGACTTGGCAGAAATCCTTGGATTTTAAAATTTGCTCGTTAAATAAAATGTTTAAGTTGGGGGAGTACTAGTCTAGGAAATATAGTCATTGTAAGAGTAATTCACTGCTCTGACTGCCTAATTAATTTTACACTAAAATTCCTCTAAAAAAAAAAAGCAAGACTGAAAAAAAAATCTTTCATTGTAAAAAAATCTTTAGTAAGTGTTAAGTATTGATTTGATTAAGAGCTTTCTGGCCACAGATTTCCATGCTTTATTTCTACTAGGCACCCAAGTGCCATGTTTGTTAAGTAGTTGTGTTCTGTTGTTCTGTCTGTTTGCCGCACTTATCACTGCTGGTTTCTCATTATGCCTTTCTTGCCATACACATAAGGTATGATCATGTAGAACCAAAATTTTAAAAAAAATATTCTCCATTGTAATATTTACTCCTATACAGATAGAACTTGTGATATATCTGTTTACAAACATTTTAGTGCTGACTCAGAACATGGAAGTGATTAAATTAAAAATATAATTCAAGAATCAGTGTGTAGTTCTTAAGTTTAGCTCTGGGTGTATTATCTTCACTTTGCTCATTCTTAAAAAAATTAATTTTGTAAAGAGACTTTATAGATGATTTAGCCCAAACCCCAGCAGGCCTGGAGAAGTGGAGATTTACCTTTGGTCGAACAGTAGAGCTGTGATTGCTGAATTATTGTAGGGAGGGAGGGGGAAGAATGCCCAAGAATGTCTATTAATTTGATCACACTAAATAGGGAAAGTAGTAACAGAGGCAGGATTCAAGAGGCCACAAAACTATGTAAAAAATAGGCATTTAGAAGATCATCTTATTTTTCCTCTACCATCCAAAGCCCAGGTTGTGGATACTGATTATCAGCCCATGGGATTTAATTCAGAAGGAATGCCAGCCAAAGTTAATAGGTGATGTACTTGGTTTTGGAAGAAAAAATAGTAGATCTTATATTTGGAAGAAGAAACAGTCAAAGTTTACAAAGAGAAGCAAAGAAGCATAACTAATTACGAGAAAAAATTTTAATTTGCCATTTCCTTATTAAAACAGAAGGTAATTCTTTGCATTTTTTTGGCTCACATTATGAAATCATAGTGTAGCTGGGAAGTAAAGTTGATGGGTCTCAAAACACTTTGTATTTCTCTTAGGCAATTAAAAGATTGTCCTGTATATTAGTAGCTTGTGGAAAAATGCATCACCTCCTTTATTAGAATATCACCTGGGCTACCCATTCTCACTCCTTGGTCCCTGCCCCCCCAGATTTTCTATCCGCAAGTTCAAGGGACACGTCCACTCAGTATCATAGTTCTTAAGCTCCTATCAATGTATTAACTTTTGTTCTGGAGGACATAGTTAAAAACAGAGGCATTTAATGAAATAGCATCGCAAATAAAGTCACGATAGAATATTCTTTCCATAAATTTTAGGTATATTGTTCTCATACATACACTATCAGTACAGAGAGTAATTACGCATAGGGAGACCATTCATGAGGAGCATGTGGATTTAGGGAACATGTGTAGCCAAGACATATTTGTAAGGGAGCAGCTTATGCCTCCATTACTTCAGGTCCATTGATGTCTTCTGGTGATACCATTGCACTGATCTTACTAGACCTGTTCATCATTGGGTGCAATGTCTACAGGTAACCGTTGGACGTGTTGTATCAAGTTTTCTCAGATAATATTATGGTGGCAGTATACTATGTTCCCTGTTACCAGTTTCTGTACCCATTTCTTTAGGGCCACCACCATATATCTCAGCTCTGGTTCATGGAGAATAATGTCTATAATCTCTCCCTTTTGAGGATAGGCTGAGTGCTCTTTGGATATAGCCACCACACCTAGCTAATAAGGATCAGTAAGAGTGCCCTTAACTAAGATAAAGTATTTTCTTTTGGGGCCCTATGTCTGGGCATAGAGTGCCTGGTTTCAGATAACTATCTAAATTAGAATTAAACATTCCCAAGATCCTCTCTGGCTTAGCCAGCAAATGAACTGGAGCCAGATCAGAAGTTATGCTAAAGAGACAAGGTCATTGTTCTCTGTCTTCTTAGTTTAAATTTCTGCTTTTATGTGTACCTAAAAGCAGAAATATATACAGATATACATATATCTTATCATATCTGTTAAACATACTAACTATAATATAGATCTGTAAGCATTAAAACTTCTTTGTTTTTGTGCTATGTTTTAGCCAGCATAAAGCTATTCTCTCTATGTTAAGTTATAAGCTCTTGAGGGCAGAGACAGTATAATTTTTTACCAGGCAATCAATAAATGTTTATGGAATTACACTTGCTGAATTATTAAAATATAAAATAATGATGATTCAATTTATATAGAACTAAAAGAATTAAGCAAGTATGATTAGGTTGTGAATGCATGCCAAAAATGTTTACAGATGTAAAAGAGAACAAAGCAAAATAAATGAGATTTCTTGTTTTCTGTTACAAATGAAATGCTTGAAAATGCCATGTTTGGAACACTAGTAAAACAATATCTGAGTTACTAATAGTGTAATTTTCTCTCAAGTTATTCAGACATTCTGATTGAGAGAGAAGTGTTAATGCAGAAGTACATCCATCTAGTTCAGATCGTAGAGACAGAAAAAATTGCAGCTAACCAACTCCGACATCAGCTTGAGGATCAAGACACTGAAATTGAAAGGCTTAAATCAGAGGTATTTCCCAACCTGTCAATCAATCCCTTCTTATTGTTTCACTGTTATGCAGTCAACTCATCATTATCAGCCTGAGGATTGCCCATAAGACGTGGTGAAATTCAGACTGTGGGTCTTCTCTGCTACGCAGCATGCTAGTGGGCTATAGCTCTCCATATATTCTGAGTGCTAGCTAGTTTCAATGTTAGTCTAAACAAATTTTCATCAGTAAGGTAAATGTGCTTCAAAATGCCAGTACATGTAATACGTTTTGAAGCCAAGTGGAATTGACTTTTGGATCATCTGGGTTTTTGTTTTGGGTTTTTTGATTTCTTTGTTTTGCCTTTGCTTCCTTCCATCAGTGCAGATAATCAGGAGTTGACTGTAGTTTTTTTGGGTTCTGATTTACTCTTCCAAGAGCACTCTACTTGACTTTGTTTATGATTTCAGCCAAAATGCAGATGGATAATCAGGAAAGAATCCAATTAGATTAAGAATCAGATTAAAGGGATCTGTCCCTCCCTGAATCCAAATGAGCACAACTTTCTGTCCTTCATATGGGCATATGAGACAGTGTATTGTCATTGTCAATGCAGCTTCTACTGAATGATTAAACAAGAATGATTCTCCCCTTTGCCTGATAGATAGAAGGCTTCACAGAAGGTCATTTGAGATGAGAGTTTCTTATACTGTGTAGCCCTGGAAGGGGCTTTTGGGAATGGAGAAGAGGTAGTTTTACATCTTACAGAGCTGGGGTGACTTGGCCACAACGCAAGCTCTGTTTCTATGCTGCACCCTTGGTGACCTAGGAGGTCTACCTCTCTGGGGATTCTGAGAGGCATGAAAGAAGAGAAAGCTTCCCCCCTGGCCCTAGCTGGTATGTGGTTGCTATATCCCTGAATCTACACGAACAATTGGGGTTTAAAGATATGCACTCATCAGGCTAGCTGAACTGTTTCTGTTCAGCAATCTTAGAATCTTCTGATACTCACTTGTATGCCACAATATTTTGGTAGGGTTTTTGTGTTCTTTTCTTTCAGATCTTCCGCTGAAACACCCCCTTGCAAATTCTGTTGAGGGGTTTTACTTGCTGTTCTAAGTGTATCATCTCTGCTATGCAGGGCAGTGATGTATGCTGATTCCAGCTGTGATGTGTGATAGCTTCTGTTGTGATAAGTTACAGTCTGTGATCACCATGTCATTAGACTTGATGCCATCTTGATTAAGCACCAAAATCTGATACAGCTTAAAAAATAAACAACAAACCTGCATTTTAAAAGACTATATCTGGCACTATAATTTAAAGCAAAATTACTGTTTTCTTTCTTTGGTGCAGTAAGCTTGAACAGATACTTGTCTGACAGGGGGAGAGAAAGATATTTACATTATGAGATAAACTTGGTGCCAAACATTGTTACCCAGTATTTGCATATCCTAGTGTGTTTTCAGTATACTGTATTCTAGTCTGGATTTTTATCTAACCCCAAAATTTTAAGTAGCCAATATTTTTGTATAGTTAGATAATCACTAGAATACATCACCAAGTCCCAATTTTCCCTTTTATCTATCACTTAGTGAAAGAGCATCTATTTAAGTAATGATGGAAGCTTCTTGACTGCAGGGGCCTATGTCATACCTATTCATTCAGTAAACATGAAATACCTGCTAAGAGCAAGACACTGTCCTAGGTACTTGGGATGCAAAGCATGATAACAATGGAAAAAATGCTGGCTTAGGAGTCAGAGAACCTGGTTCTGCTACTACCTGTGTGAACTTGATTGAACAAATCACTTCATGTCCCTGGGTCTCAGTTTCCTCATCTGTAAAATGAGGGGGTTGGACTAGATGGCTTTTGAGGTCTTTTCCAGCTCTCGTTCAATGATCCTATGGTACCACCCATTTCCCTTTGTATCTCCAGTGTCTGTCACAGTGCCTTGCATATATTAGATGCATAATAAATATGTGTTCAGTTGAATTTAATTAAAATAGCTATTAGGCCATTGGATGGCCTATAAGGACTACTGGTGTCTAAATTGATGTTTATTAGTAGGTCCACATGGGTCCCAAATGCATTTGGCATTGAGCTGCATATTAATATATTTTGTTTTAAAGCTTAAGTGAGGGAGCCTAACTGGGTGTTTCCATAGCACTCCATTTCTCTGATATACACAAGACAGAAATAAGTTAGAGATTTTCATGTCTCCTTATCTGTCACAGAATCAGGGTGGAGTCTGGAGAAGAGCTACAATTCCTTTGGTTGATTGGGAATATTGCTAACACTCATGTTACACTGCAGCCACCTATAAGAGTTAGTTTTCTCACTCCCAAATGGAGTCAAATCATTCCTATGTGACCTATAAACTCTTAACCCTGAAAGGAGAGGTTTCGAAGAATTTGAGGGCATGCATAAAAGAGCTAGATATGATTGGAGAGCCATGATCCAAGTATATTGCTTTAGAGATCCCTAGAGAGCGTCTTGTCCAGCATTCCATTTGAAAGAATGTTGATATTTGCTGAGCCTTTGAGGAAGAGAGCTAGGCCTTTGCCTGATGATCATTAGTCAAGCCTGTGTTCTTTTTTGTGGCCCAGCACGTACACACTTCCCCTTCCCTTAATCCAGTCACATGTAGTCCAGGGCGAAATCCATGCTCGTCACAGACTTTTAGATGAAATCTCATTCCTGGCATGTCTGAGTGGTCTGCCCTTCGATGTGTGAGGAGAGATAATCCATGGTTATTGAGACAGAATTAAATATTCTAAGATGTTGGTTTTGTTTGATTCTTAGATTATTGCTCTTAATAAAACCAAGGAACGAATGCGACCATATCACGGCAACCAGGAAGATGAAGATCCGGACATCAAAAAGATTAAAAAGGTAGGTGCTTGGAAGTTTGAAGCCTGAAAGAGGCTATACCAGAGAGTCAGTGTGACTTATGGACATTGTCCTTCTCACCCCAGGATCATACAGGAAGGCTGTAGATCTGGAGAGGACATCAGAGGCCATTAATCCAACACCCTTGCTTTGTAGAAGCAAGTCCAGAGAATTGTGTCATACAGGTTGTAGGTAGCAGAGCTGGGATTCTAACTTGGGCCCCAAGCTCCAAGGTTAGCTATTTTGCACCATAGCTGCTTCTTGATTTTCTCCAAACAGAGCATAACCAGTATGTTCCCACGGGTAAATGCCAGCTTTACCCTTTAGATAACTTAAGATAGTGCTTCCTCTGTGGAAACACTCCAGCTTGGTAATTAGAATCTGCCAGCTTCCAGTAATTTCCTCTCTTGAGATACTCAGGGAGTGATGCCAGAAACTATAATGAAAGAGTAACCCTGTTGGGGTAACTAAAACAATATTAGGTTTTAAAATCATAGAATATTAGAGTTGGAAAAGATCTTAAAAATCATCTGGCAGCCCCCAGCCTCATTTTACATGTGAGGAAACTGAGCCCCAGAGAATCCCTCAAAGTCACACAGTTAGTGAGTGGTAGAGTTAAGTGTCCTAATTCCAAGTCCAAGATACTTTTCTTTTACATAACATTACTTTCCTTAGTCTGCTGACTTTATTTGTCCTTCTCCCTGATTTTAATGCTTTGTGAAGTTATTTTTAAAAAGCATTTGCTTATTATGCTTATTCTTTGGGAACACTTAGCACAGTTTTTCCTCAAGTGTTAGCATATTGAGGATAGGAATGTTGGCTCTAATGTGGGTTTTACTGTAGACATCCAGAGAGACAGTTTCTCTATCCTCCTGTCATCTGAAATCCTAGAAAGTTAGTGATGAACCAGATACCACCATACTTCGTGTTTTGTAATTATGTTATCTGATTTTAACTATCCTGTTTAATAAGAGGACTTTATGGGCAGGCATGGTGGCACACTGGGAAGGTTGAAGTTGGTAGATCACTTGAGCTTAGGAGTTTTGAACTGCAGCAGGCTAAAGCTGATTGGGCTAGTGTCTACACTAAGTCCAGCACCAGGAGAGTGAGCCTCTGGGAGCAGTCAGTCACCAGGCTGCTTTGGGAGGGTGTGGACTGTCTCGGGTCATAAAGGGAGCAATTCAAAACTCCCATGCCTGTCACCAGTGGGATTAGGCCCATGAGGGGCCAGTGCACTTCAGCCTGTTTTTCCGGGATTTCTTTTGCTTCTTTACTGATTCTTTTGTTCAAATGTTTCTAACCTCAGACCACAGGACAAACCCATCTTAGCTATCACTCAACAGTGTTTAAGTCAATCACGAGTAATGTAAACTGAAGTTCACGTTTTCGTCATCCTCTGGATAACTCTAAAGAAAGGTTATTAATAATGATTGATCAAGACAACAGTGTAAACATTGGTCCCCTCTTTGCACTGTCTAGCTATCCTGGACTTGCTTTTCCTTACACATGCCATACCATCCCACATCTCTGCCTCTTCGCTGGCTGTTTCTTATGCCTGAAGTGCTTTTCTTCTTCACCTCCACCTCTTAGAATGCCTTATTTCTTTCAGTGCTCAGCTCAAGGTCAACCTTCTCCACAAAGCCTTTTCTGATTCCCACAGTTGTTATGCCTTTCCTTCTAAAGGCACTTTGTATTAATTATGTATGTATATATGTGTGTGTATGTTTATGTGTGTATGTATGTGTGTATATATATGTACATATACACACATAGATATTCTGTATATACTTATATTTTGTATATCTACATTGTTTCTCCAATTAAAATGCAGGCTCCTTGTGGGCAGGCACTGTTTCACTTCAGTCTTTGTGTCCCTAGTGCTTAATGCTATGCTTTTGCTCATAGTAGGTACTTGATTTTTTAAATTAATTAATAGGCTAAAGATATATTATGTAGACCCATCTTAATTTTTGACTGTTTTATTCCAAAAATTTGAGTATAAGTTATTTTTCAAAATTCTGAATGCATTTTCCTCTAAGAACAATAGTATAAAAGATAATTTCCCAGGCTAGCCCTCAAAAACTCATATAACTTCAGATGTATCTGAAATATAATAATATATGGTGTTTGCCATAAATAATGGAATGTATTACATACATTTTTATTAATAATTTATTTATTTTTAGTTTTTAACATTCATTTCCCTAAGATTTTGAGTTTTAAATTTTCTTCCCTTCCCTCTCCCCTCCCCCAAGACAGTATGCAATCTGATATAGGGTCTACTTACACATTCATATTAAGCATATTTTCCCATTAGTCGTGATGTAAAGAACAATTAGAACTAATGGAGGGAACCACGAGAATGATGCAAAAAACAAAACAACAAAGGAAAAGGAGAGCAAATAGTATGCTTTCATCTGCATTCAGACTCCATAGTTGTTTCTCTGGATGTGGATAGCATTTTCCATCGTGAGTCTTTTGGAGTTGTCTTAGATCCTTACATTGCTGAGAAGAGCCAAGTCTGTTAAAGTCAGTCATCGCACAGTGTGGCTATTACTGTGTACAGTATTCTCCTGGTTCTGCTCATTTCACTCAGCATCAATTCATTTAAGTCTTTCCAGGTTTTTCTGAAGTCCTCCTACTCATCATTTCTTATAGCACAGTAATATTCCATTACATTCATATACCACAACTTGTTCAGCCATTCCCCAATTGATGGGCATACCCTCAATTTCCAATTCTTTGTCACCACAGAAAGAGCTGCTGTAAATATTTTTGCACATGTGAGTCCTTTTCCCATTTTTATGACCTCTTTAGGATACAGACCTAGAAGTGGTATTGTTGGGTCAAAGAGTATTCACAATTTTATACCCCTTGGGCATAGTTCTAAATTGTGCTCCAGAATGGTTGGGATCAGTTCACAACTCCACCAACAATGCAATAATGTCCTAATTTTCCCACATCTTCTCCAAGAATTTATTATATTTTAACAAACAGGAAAAGACCTCTTATTGATTCGAGAGTTCTCTTAAAGTTAGTTATCTAGATTCTTCAAAGTCAAGATAAAAATTTGCACAAAAAACCAAGAAGAATAATGCAAAAAGAATGTACAATTGAAACAACTTAGCTGAAATAAGCAAATATTTGAGAATAAAAAATGGGAAATGGATAACAGAAAAAAACATTGACACCAAGTATTAATAATTTTATCCAGACATTTGACCAATGTAAGTTAAGTGCCATAGCAAGGAGACTGAGAGAGTGCCTTATCCAGCAAGCATCTGACCTACTTGCCAAAGGCAACTTATATTAGATTATAAACTTGCTTGTAGAATCTTATGAAGATGGATGATGAATGATTGTAAACAATATTATCTCCCTGGGGAGGGTAAAACTAACTTAAAGAAAATTTGACAAGATATCCAATTAAATAAAGTCATCCCAAGGGCATTCAAGAATGAAAATGGAAGGAAGACTACAAAGAGAAGAAAAATGAGAAAGATTTGCAAAAATTATTTTGGCAATTATTTTCTTCATCATGGACAGTGGAACCAACACACTGTCACAGTCTTAGACGTGCTCATAGAGGAGAAAGAAATGACACTAAAGAGAATGAAGATAGGAAAAGTTGCTATCTTAGGCCAAGTATATAGAGAGGAGATCCATGCCAGAGGCAACACAATTGTGAGGGCATTGAAAAAGCAATATACAGTGTCTTAAAGGGGGAAAGATACCAAATGTGTGTGTGAGGGAAACTCAGACATTATGAATCTGACAAAGGTAACTGACATAGCCTAAATAATTACCAACCTATATCTCTACTCTTTATACAAAATCTTCACATACAAGTTGAAGGAATCCTCAAGGAGAGTATAGTAGGGAGCATGCAGCCTTTCAAAAGTGATATTCAGCAAAGGACCTTATCTTTACCATCTTACAATTAAGTAAAGATGTAGAATATAAGAATCCATTGTGCTTATTTGTTATGATTATGAAACAACACTTGATTTGGTAGGATAAAATGTTGTGTTACAGACTCTTTTCCAACAAGGCATCTCTGACCCATACATGAAAATCATTCAAGATTCCTTGAAACATATGATGGTGGAAATAACCTTGTCCAACAATCTTTTGATTATAAAGTCAAGTGAGGCATAAAATGGGGAAAATATACGTTTGCTAAAGGTATTTTCCACTATAATAAAGATGATCCAGAACAGAGTACAGGTGGAAGAGGGATTTTCTGTATATGGCGAAGTCCTCTTGATGTTCTTGTTTGCTGATGACATCATGCTGATTACATCAAGCCTCCAAACACTGCAGAATCTTCTGAAGGAGATTTGTAATGACTCAGTGGAGTCCATTATAGCTCATGGATTTAGAACTGGAAGGAAAGGGTCATTTAGTCCAATCTCTGAATTTTATATATGAGGAAACTGAGGACCAAAAATGGGTAAGTGACTTGTTCAAGATCACACAGGTACTAAATGACAGAGGCAGGATTTGATTCTAGGTGTTCCGATTCCAAAGCTAGTGCTCTTTCCATTCAGTCATACTGTGGATGAAGAATATCTGTTGCCCAGATTTCAATATGTATTTGAATGGACGCCCTCTTGATTTTTTCCATCAGTACATTGATCTAGGACGTAACAGCACAGATGGGTAGCTAGGTGGGGCCCAAAATTGAACAGAAGGAGAATGATGTGGATTGCTTTTGAGAAGTTGCAAAGCTTCTTTACTGACCTTAAAATTCCCATGAAAAAAAGGGTTCATTTTTATTTTAACACTAACATTCTACTTATTTTGCTCTATGGCAGTAAAATATGGAATACAGTCATCTTCAAAGATTTACAAATGAATATCACATTGAAGACAATGGATAGGTAGTATGGGAGAGGGAGAGAGAGGGTGTGAGCAGATTGCAACCAATGAGATGCTCTGTAGAGCAGGAGTAAAAAATAACATCAAGAAATTACATGATAGGAAGAGAAGATAAGTTGCTCATGCACAAGAATAAGAGATGGCAGGTGGACAGCCAGAGTGCCCCACTAGTACCCTTGAATTGTTAGTAGAAAGTTAAGAAAGCATCCATTCTCCATTGGGTGGACTGTACAGGGAATTTATGGGAAGAAATGTTTAAGAATCTTAAGATGGACAGGTATGGATGGGCTGTAGTCTGTATCAAGGAGGAATTCTAGAGTCAATAAAATTATAAATACTTGAGTACTTGAGAGACAGCCTAACCACCATGCACACCAACATTTCTGCAGGAAAATATATCCAGAATTGTACCTTGAAATATATCGGTATCTATTTTGCTCTACTTTCCCCACCTTATCCTTTTCTGTTACAATAAAATTGTGGACTCCCTCTCCCTCACTTTTCCTACTGGCAGGGAGTTACAGGCCACAGCTGGCAGCCCACAATTATGTACAAAGATTTCAGCATGGAAAGAGATGAGGGGTAGGAACAGGTGCTTCAGAGGACGAGAGGATAAAGAAGTGTTTAGTACTCTTGTCAATATAAAACCAACAGGGATGTTTTTCAGTTTCTGGTTTTATGTCATTGATGAATTGAGGTATATTTAGAATCACAGAATTTGAGAATTGGAAGGGACCATAGTGGACATCTGGTCTAAACTATACCTCAAAGGAATCTCCACAAGGACATAGAATATTATAGGAACAAAAATGGGAAAACAGCACCATTTTACATTAAAATTGTATTTTTTGTAATTTGACTCATGCTAATTTTGACTATTTTAATAGTTTCTTTAAAAAAAAGAAGATGAAACTATTTATCAGAGATATTAATAAACAATATTTGCTATGTCCCAAAGGCAGGAACCAGTTCATATGAAAATAGTCTGGCAAATTTATATTTTATCAGTGAACACTTCCCCGAGTGCATAAAAACGTTTGATTCCAGGATTGAAAACAATAATATTGAGTTGAAAAATAGGTAAGTCAGGCAAGGGATAGAGTGTTGGACTTGGAGTCAGGAAGACCTGAATTCAAATCTCTGTGACCCTGAGCACATCATTTAAGCTTCTTCAGCCTCAGTTGCCTGATCTGTAAAATGGGGATAATAATAGTGCCTATGTCCCAGGGTTGTTGTAAGGCTCAAATGAGATAATATAAGTTAAGTGCTTTGTTACCTTAAAGCACTCTATAAATGCTGGCTATTGTAATTTAAATCTTACTTTGACATTTTTGCCTTTTAATTTTTTTTGACAATTCACTCTTATCTCATTAAAAGTAAAACTTTTTTATAATTTGATTTTTGAATTAAATAAAACTTTTAAAATTGGCTTTGTTATCCACTCCGTTCCAAATCCAACTTCTCTCTGCAGTTGGATTGTTTCAGCCTACCAGTGTGAAGATGAGTTGCAGATAAGTTAGTGTCTGCTTTAAAAAATGTGTATACAAGGTAATGTAAATTAAACTGAAAATTTGAAATTGATAGTTACAGAAATTCCCCATAAATTTATTCATTCATTATATAACATTTCTAATACAATGCTTTTTATTTTTTAAAAATTGCAATTGATTTTTTTGAAGACATGATGATTTCATTGCGTATGTGAAAATTGAATAGTAAAAGAGGGAGTTAGTTTAAATAAGAGAGAATAGAGTCCATGTGGACAAAATAATGAGAAAAAATAGAAAACGTGAGAATATGTTGAATCAACAGTTATGCTTTAAAAAAAAGATTGGTAGCAGTGAATGTTTTCATTTTAATCTGTATTTTCAGCTTTACAAAGCTGTTACTTAGATACACCACAAATCTGATTACAAAATTTGATAGAACTAGAAATGGAACTTAAGAAATCATCTTGCATAATTCATACAGGGAAACTGTGGCCCAGAGACATAAAATATCTTGCCCAAGGACTCCTAGTGACAGGTAAACCCAGGTCTAACTAGAATCTAAAATTCTTTGCCATATATGACATTGCCTAGTGAATTGAGATTACTGTTAAAATATTGCTCTCATCATATATTTTTTTCCAAAACTTGCTGTGTTAATGGTTTTAGGTGAGAGGAGTCTCTCCATTCATGAGTGAAGATTATATTAAAAGACTCACATATGCAATTAGGAAGGTGATATCGTCTCCTATAGGTAGCTTAACAGTAAAGCCTTTTATACTCTCTTCTTGAAATTTTAATAGAGGGGAAATAAGAATAGCTCAAAGAGAATTTTACAATAAAAATGGGCACCAAAACAACATAAGTTAATAATGACTGACATTTAAATAACACTTTGAGATTTACAAGATCCATTATTTATATTATTTTGTCCTGACAACAGTTAATGTGAGGTAAAGACTGCAGGCATTATTATCCCTGTTCAGCAAATGAGGAAATTGAGGTTGACAAAAGTTAGATGACTTGCCCAGGGTGATACAGCTAATGTCTAAGGCAGAATGCAAATCCAGTTCTACCTTACTGCAAGTCTAGTGCTCTGTCTGCTATATCACCCTGCCTCTAGGAAACTAATTGTAGGGAGACATTAGGAACACTGTCATCATCTGAAAAGGACCTAAGAGATTGGTCTAGTAATTTAATTTTTCAAAGGAGGAAACACAATTCTAGGGAGGTTAAGTGATTTGTTTGGGGCCACACAGCTTTTCACAATAAAATCCAGAACAAAAAAACCCCTCAACTTTTAGATTAGTGTTTTATTCATTTTAATATACACACTTTAATCACAAGGTAATTAGTCAGTTTTTATGATATATTCTTTGGTCATCACCTAGCATGTATATGCTTTGGAGGGTTTTTGTTGATTTCTCTCTTTCTGTCTATGTCTCTGTCAGTCTGTCTCTCTTTTTCTCTCCTCTCTTCACTCCCTCTCTTTCCCTCCCTCTTCTCTCTCCCTGTCACTGTTCTTCTCTCTGTCTCTGTTTCTCTCAGTTTCTGTCTCTCTTTCTCTCTGTTTCTCTCTCTGTCTGTCTCTGTCTCTCAGATTTTAATTTCATCAGTATGGGGAACTCTTAGTGTGGAAATTCCTGCCAGCAATGCAGACCAAATAGCTCATCTAACTTACAATCTTTATATGATTGTCTCTGGCACTGAGACATTAAGTAACTTGCCTCTAGTCACTTAAGTAATATTCATGACTTACTCCAAGGTCAACCCTCTTTCCTACCAAACCTCTCAGCATTTAGACATATGTGGGTACAATATATAAAATGTATTAATCTCTAGTGACTTATTCCTGCTGTTAAAAAGTTCAGAACTAAATGATCACTGGCCTTCTAAACAAGTCAACCACAAGAACTCTCTGGGTCTCATGGAGAATGAGGGTGTCTGATCAACATAATTTCCATACTTTAAAACATTTACTTTTGCATGCAGCACAAATTATTGCCTTGCTTAACCACTCAAAGTGCTATTAACTCATGTAGATTTCTCTTTGGCTGTTCTTTAGGTTCAGAGTTTCATGCGAGGATGGTTATGTAGAAGAAAATGGAAAACCATTGTTCAGGATTATATCTGTTCTCCCCATGCTGAAAGTATGAGAAAGAGAAACCAGATTGTTTTCAACATGGTTGAGGCTGAGTCAGAGTATGTGCATCAGTTGTATGTTCTTGTTAACTGTTTCCTTCGCCCTTTAAGAATGGCTGCAAGCTCAAAGAAACCTCCAATTACCCATGATGATGTCAGCAGCATTTTCCTCAATAGGTAAGGTTTGGGATTATTTGGTTCACTTGATTATGTGAATGCTAAAAGCAACAATAACCACCAGCCCAAAATAGCCTATTTTTAAGGTTTTTTTTTTCTCAGAAGACCAGATTCTTAAGTTCCTGTGGCCTGTTATTTTCCTTAAGATGTTAAAAGTGAATCCCATCATCATTGCTCATTCATTTTTCTTCTTCATTTTCTCTCATGGCTTCTGCGTACTTTTAATCATCTTCACAATTTGAAATTCACTTTGTTGTTTTTATTCTTGGAGGGATCTGATCACCCTCAAAGCAAGAAAGGCTGGGACCTTTTTTTTCATCTTTTTTTAAATTTAGTATTTTATTTTTCCTAGTTACATGTAAAAACAATTTTAACATTGGTTTTTAAAACTTTGAGTTCCAAATTCTCTCCCTTCCTCCCTCCTCACCCCCCCATTGAGAAGGCAAGCAATTCAATGTAGATTATACATGTGTAGTCATGCAAAACATTTCCATATTAGTTATGTTATGAAAGAAAACAGACAAAAAACTCAAGAAAAAGAGAGAAAGTTTAAAAAAAAGCATGCTTCAATCTGTATTCAGACACCATCAATTCTTTCTCTGGGATTGGATAACATTTTTCATCATAAGTCCTTCAGAGTTGTCTTGGATTGTTGTATCGCAGAGAATAGTTGAGACATTCCCAGCTGATCATCTAACATATTGCTGTTACTTTATACACAATACATTTCATTTTGCATCAGCCCATGCAAGTCTTTCCAGGTTTTTCTGAGAGCATCCTGCTTATCAATTCTTATAGAACAATAATATTCCATCATAATCACATACTGCAACTTGTTTAGCCATTCCCCAATTAATGAGCATATAAATACAGACAATATTATCTCACTTTAAAAATTATTCTTATTCTGATGCTTAAGCATTATGTTGTGAAAGTAAATATAGACTATATCTTGTTATAACAAATGCTATTATATACTTAACAGCATATATAAAAATATATAATATATGACATAAATATATATAAATATGTATCAGTAGTAGTACTGATAATGTGTTGATAAATGTTTAATAACTAGCTCCCTGGGAAAAAATGTACCCACACTTTTAAGTTTAATCATGTTATTAACATTTTCTCTATCACTTAAGTCTAGAGAGTCAATAAAGCAATAAATCAATTTCTAAGTCTTTGCCTCCAGAAAAGAGCTGCTATAAATACTTTCGTACATATAGGTGGGGCCTTTTTTAAAAGTTATTCACAAAAGAATATAACACATGTACAGCCCGTGCTCATTGGAGTACTTGATGCTCCTAAGAACTTCCCCAGATTTCATGGCAGAGCCGCCATTTGAGTAGCTGCAGTAAAGAAAACAGCTGGGAACCACAACAACCACTTGTCACCTGTTAGTTTCAAGGTACTGTGTTGGGCACTAGAGGAAAAATTTAGGTAAGACCTGGCTTCTGCTTTCAGAGTGTTGACATCAATAAGACTAATCTTTATTTGTCTTTGTTTTTTTCTGGGCCTTTTTAAAGTTACAATTTCAACCCAGTATCCTAGAGGTTCACACTCACACTTTCTGTGCTTTGCTTTTTTTTCCTATTATGAGACCCATATTCCTCTTACCAGAAATGCACAGAAGAGAGGCAAAGTTCACTTGCACAGAGTTGGAGGGAAGATTAAGGTGGGAAGATGAAGGATATCAAGAATCTTTTACAGCCTCCCCGTGTCCGAGGGGGCTGCAATTTGGAGAACATTGATTGAAATAATGGACCAGGCTATTGGCTGAGACTCCCCGCTGCTGATGCCATCAGAACCCATGCTGCTGTAGCTCTCTGTTGTCTCCAGGGATTTGTTTAAATTGAATTGTCTTACTTCAAGTTTGAAAGGCCAAGCTTAGTACATTGTTTAAATTCACAAAATAGACAAGGTACACCTACATCAGAAAGGTATTGCTGAAGGCAATTTGTGAGTTAGGTCATGCTTCAATCTAGTTTTCCCCCAGAACCTGATCTCTCAGTAGAGATTTGAAGAGACACTTTCAAACTCAGAGTTTGTGTGTGCTTGTTGCTTTTTAAAATGAGTCTATCTTTCTTCCTTGTCCTAGAAATTGAAGTCTTAGGCAGGTTAATTATTTGGTATTTCCAGACAATATTATCTTACTTTAAAAATTATTCTCATTCTGATGCTTAAGCATCATGTTGTGAAAGTAAATATAGACTATATCTTGTTATAACAAATGCTATTATATACTTAACAGCATATATAAAAATATATAATATGACATAAATATGTATCAGTAGTAGTACTAATAATGTATTGATAAATGTTTAATAACTAGCTCCCTGGGAAAAAATGTACCCACACTTTTAAGTTTAATCATATTATTAACATTTTTTCTATCACTTAAGTCTAGAGAGTCAATAAAGCAATAAATCAAGCCCTCATTTATAGTATTGGCAATTTCTGAGGTGTAAATGCTCATACTGAAATTTTAATAACTGGCTTTCAAGAGTCAGTTCAAGCTGGCTCCAATACACCCCTGAGTTGTTCCATTCAGCAAAAATTCTAGAAAGAGCAGTAACTTTAGACAGTTCCTCAGTGTTTGTTACAATAGAATTTGAGCTATTATCAAATCATTCACTGAGAGAGATCCTGGTTTTCAAAAGGACTTATACTTACTCTTGCCAGTTTGGATTCTAGAATAGTTAACTTTTTGAATCCAATGCCACTCAACCAAAGAGTACTCCTGTACAATTCTTGGTGTTGTTCAGTCATGTCCAGCTCTCTGTGACCCCATTTTGGCGTTTTCTTGGCAAAGACACTGGAATGGTTTGCCATCTCCTTCTCCAGCTTATTTTACAGATGAGGAAACTGAGGCAAACAGGGTGAAGTGATTTGTCCAGGGTCACATGGCTAGTAAGTATCTGAGGCCAGATTTCAACTTAACAAAGTGTAGTCTTCCTCACTTAAGGCTCAGCACTCTATCCATTTCACTACCTCTCTGCCCCTGATGAGGGGAGAGTGAACCTGTTTTGTAGTGTGGGTACTAAACTTAGTTAACTCTTTAAAGAGCACAAATTTGTTCTTTGGTCTTTGCTTTATTGCATTTCTATGGGCTCTATCCCTCAAAGGACATTTTTTTTCATGTCTTTCTTTGGGATGCCAATGCTGAGTATAGTTCCTCCGGATTCTCTGCTGTAGCCTTTTTTTTTTCCTCTCCTAGGCACAGCTTATTCCTAAGTCAGCAGGAGACCTACTTCTCATTATAAATGTAGAATCATACCCTAAGAAAGAAGACGATGCCTTTTTTTTGTTTGTTTTTTAACTTGCTAGTCATTGATTGAAATATTCCAACAATAAACAATGGTGGGATATCTCATGTATTCCCAGTAAGAAAAGAGGATGTAAAAGAACATTCCAAAACTTAAAAATCTTATACCATCACCCAATTTTAGAAGCCCAGCTCATCATTTTCTTTTATGTTTTTGAGGTATCATTTTTTAATGGAGGCTTTTATGAACCATACACTACCTTTGGGGTCTATGTAGGGAGCCATGGAGCCAGCTCAGGGCATGCCCATTTAGAAGTCCTAAGATTCCAGGGGAATAATTCAGAAGTAAACTTTGTGTAGGGACTAAGCCAGTTTGCAAATCACCCATTCTACCCCTTCTGTTATTTTATTTAACAGTGAAACAATCATGTTCCTCCATGAAATATTTCATCAAGGACTAAAGGCAAGGATTGCTAATTGGCCTACTTTAATTTTAGGTAAGTGCTTGTTTGTCACAAAGTTTTCTATTTACCGTAAGATTTGTTTTTTTAAAAAAGGACATCTCTGTTCTTCATCTAAAGTACTGTTCTTGTGGCTCACTGTGGTATAGTGCTGACCCTGAATTCTCAAAGACTGTGCCAGCAAAACTGAATAGAGCTCTGGCAGGTTAAACCAAGATAGAAAGACTGTGTACTGCAGATTGTACATCTCTTGTCTGAAGACCAACTCAACTATATTTGGAAAGGCTTATCCCAACTCACATTCCTTCCCTGGGAGGGTTGCCCATGAGGTTATTATTTCTTTTGGCTTCCACAGTTCATAGGATCAGAGGTCATGGAGCTAAAGAAGGGAACTTAGCCATATATGTAATAAGTTGTACATACAAGAAAATTATCTAGCAAATAGGCCGAGAAGGCAGGGGAGTGAAGGGAGCACCCGCGTGCCGTAATTACTTGAAGTTTTGAAGGTTTCTTATACAGTGGCACCTTTGTCCTCCCATTCAATTTATCAGACATTTATTCAGTACGTACAGTACCTACTGTAAGACACTGTGCTAGGCTCTAGGGATGTAAAGATAGATACAACCCAAGTTCCACTCTGAAGGAGCTTACAATTTAATGGGAGTGAGGGAGAGGACAAGAACACAAATAACTGATAATGGGGGACAATGAGGTCAGTCAGCCAATAAACATTTATTAAATGCCTGCATAGGGAGAGATTACTTTCCTCTGAGAGTCAGGAGAGGCTTTGTGGATGAGATGTGGATGAGTATAATCTGAGTTGGGCCTTGGAGGAAGGAGCATAGGAATGTAGAGCAGAAAGGGATCTTAGAGGCCATCTGGTCCAGTCCTCTCCCTTTACACATGGAGATGCTGAGAACTAGAGGGGTTAAGTGACTTCTCCAGGGTCACGCAGGTGACAGGTAAATGGCAGAGACAAGATTTGAGCCCAGGTCTTCTGATTCCTGATCCAAAGCTCTTTTGGATTACACCTCCCATTTAGATTACACCTCCATTACACTTCTCCAAGGAAAGGACTTTAACAAATGACATGGAGGGGGAGTCCATTTGAAGCAGGGGAAATAGAGGACAGTGAGGGCAAAAGTAGAGGGAGAGGAAAGGTCTAGACAAAAATGGAATATAATCTAGTTTGGAGCATGGCGTATGTGAAGAAGGGTAGAATATATGACAGGTAGGTTGAGCTGTATTGTGGAGGGTCAAATCAAGTAAACAAGCATCTGTTATGCTCTCACTATATTTCAGACACCATACTACACGCTGCTGGGAATGCAAGTATCAGCTGCAAGAAAGATAGGCTTGCCCATAAGGAGCTTACCTTCTAATGGGGAAAGATGAGACATAAAAGGAAGCTAAACAATGGGGAAAGTACAGAATCAAGAGTGGAAGGAAGATATGGTTGGCTTAGCCAATTTCCAATTACCTAGCAAATTCCAATTTAAGGAATTGAGTAGAGGAGTATTTTGTAGTATATTAGTGTTTTGCAGTATATTAGGAAGATTGATTACTTGGGCAGTTTAGAAGGGGATAGATATTCAGTTAACTTCATTTATGATTTCATTGGTGTGGGTACTCTGTCACCATAGCTGCTCATGGCTTCCACTTAGTCCCCCTCTCCCACATAGAAGAGTGAATGAGAATCAGTGCACTGTATAAGGTCAGGGACCTGAGAGTCTTGGCAGATGGTTAATCAGTGCCAAGAGAATTAGGGGTGAGAGAATTAAGGCGAAGAGAATATGCTTAGGATTTAGTGAGAGTAGAGGGGAGGGCAAGTGTGTCTTACTGCTGCCTTCCCCCGCCCCCCTCATGCAAAATACCACTATTTGGGGAATAATGATGAGAAGATATTAATCAGAGGTAACCTTCTGACACTTATGGGAATCAGTCATTTGGAGGGCTTCTGATAATCTCTTCAAAACAAGTGTGTCTGGGAGATGCAAAGAGATCAAGAGTACTAAGTACTTTTTTTTTCCATTTTGTTTGTTTTGGCTAGGCAGTGGGGTTAAGTGACTTCCCAGGGTCACATAGCTAGTAAGTGTCAAGTGTCTGAGGCTGGATTTGAACTCAGGTCCTCCTGACTCCAGGGCCTGTGTTCCATCCACTGTACCACCTAGCTGCCCCAAGAGTACTAAGTACTTTTAGTAAGTAAAGTGGTATATTGTGCCGAAGAGGTCCTTAGTACTGTGCTGCACTAATGTAGCCTTTAAGAACACAAAGTCATCTCCATGTTGTGATTAGGTATTGGAACTGAGTAGAGGAGCTATTTAATTGATTTTGGTCTGATTTCCCTTCTCATATTATAAGACTTTTTAGGGAGTAGACTACCTAGAATATGTACCTCAGAGGTGCCATATACTCTGTGGACATACTCTGTGGAGCATTGGATACATGCTTGTTGATCATCATGGATACATGTTGAGTCTATGGATAGAGTATTGGGTGTTGTCACAATTCTATAGAGATGATAATTAAATTTCTTTGGTAGAGATGAACATCTCTATTGGAAGGCTGAGTTGTAATAGCAGAGAGAAAGAGTGTAGAGGAAAGAATACTCGATTTAGATTCAGAAGTTGTTTGGTCATTTCAGTCATGGCTTACTCTTCATGACCCCGTTTGGGATTTTCTTGGCAAAGATACTGGAGTTATTTGCCATTTCCTTCTTTAGCTCATTTTATAAAGGATGAAACTGAGGCAAACAGGGCGAAGTGACTTGCCCAGGGTCACACGGCAAGTAAGTGTCTGAAGCTGGATTTAAACTTGCAAAGATGGGTCTTCCTTACTCCTGACCTGGCACTCTGTGCACTGTGGCACCACCAATTCAGAAGACCTGGGTTCAAATGTCAACTCTTCTACTGACTACTTTTGTGACCTTGGGGAAGTTACTTCCCTGCTCCAGGACTCAGTTTCTTTATCTTTAGAATGAAAAGGTTATATTAAGTGATGGTTCTTTCCAACTCAAAAAAATCTCTAAATCCTATGATCTATAATCTTCATCAACTAGGCTAAGCACATTTCTCTAATATTAAGCCTCCAGGTGAGAGTTTCTTCACTTGAAATCTATGAACATGCATTTTGAATGTTTTGATCATTATATTTCATTATGATTGGTTTCCTTTGCAGTCCTTTGCATTTAAAAATATTATTCTTAGAAAGGGTCCATCAGTTTCATTAGACTGCTAAAAGGTCTGTAATAATAGTAATAATGATGATGATGATGATGATAATGGCTGGTATTTATATAGGACTTTAAGTTTTGCAAAGCACTTTATAAATATTATCTAATTTTACCCCCACAACAACCTTGGGAAATAGTTGCTGTTATTATCTCTATTTTATGGATGTTGAAACTGAGGCCATGAGAGATTAAATTAGTAGCCTAAGGTCACATAGCTACTAGATGTCTGAATCCAGATTTGAACTCAGGTCTTCCTGACTCCAGGTCCAACATTCTTACCACTATGGCATCTAGCTGCCTCGTGATATACCATGACATAAAAAAAGGTTGAAAATCTTTTCATTGAGGCAAAGTGTAGGCACTGAAGCCACTTCTGTGATTTCTTCTCTTTCCTCCCTCTCTTTCACCACTTCCCAACCAACACTCTGGAACAGTGCTAAACATATAATTATCCCTCAGAGTGCTGCCATATCCTTGGCTTCTCTTTGGATTAATCAACCCTGCTCTGTGGACATTTGGAGTATGAATCTTTCTGTGTTTTGCTAAATCTGAGATGATTATTTTTCCTTAGTTGGAGTCTTGTGCCCACTGTCTCATACTGCCCGGGTGAATGTGTCCACGGAGTAGTCAATTAAATATTTGCTAAGAGTTAACTCTAGTCCACCCCAGTGTCTAAGCCTCATTTAATCATAGACTTATAACTAGAAGGGACTTGAAAGATCATGTTGTTGTGGGAGATAGGAACAAATTGTAAAAAGGTGTTAAGACGTGGTCCTTGACCCTAAAGAGAACGTTATTTAAGAAGTTTTTTGCTAAAATGACATATTTTCTGATTTTTTTCAGCTGACCTATTTGATATTCTACTACCAATGCTTAATATTTATCAAGAATTTGTCCGCAATCATCAGTACAGTCTTCAAGTGCTAGCCAATTGTAAGCAAAACAGAGATTTTGACAAACTCTTGAAACAGTATGAGGCCAACCCTGCCTGTGAAGGGAGAATGCTAGAAACTTTTCTGACCTATCCCATGTTTCAGGTAAGTTATTCAGTAGACATTTTTTTGTAACTCACTGGGGGTAGCCTCAAAGTCAAAAACAAAGTAAAGATGGTCACTCATGAGGAGTTGTTAAATCTGCAGGTCAGGGGCAGCTAGGTGGCGTGGTGGATAGAGCACTGGCTCTGGAGTCAGGAGGACCTGAGTTCAAAGGTGGCCTCAAACATACAACTTTCACTAGCTGTGTGACTCTGGGCAAGTCACTTAACTCCAGTTGCCTCACAAACAAAGAAAAAAACATTAAATCTACAAGTCAGACAAAATGTTAGTCCTCACTCAGTGCCAGAATTCAGAATACAGGTGTATCCTAACCTTCAGAAAACCTAATATATAAAAATTTTAATTTGAAAAATGGCTAAATAATATAATAATAATAACTAGTATTTATAGTGCTTTAGTGTTTGCAAAGTGCTTTATATAGGTTAACTCATTTGATAAATGAGCAATATTTGCATTATGAGAGGATTTTTACTTTATCAAAGAGTTAAACAGACTTTCTTTAAATAGCTCACTTTAATGTAATTTTTAAAATGTGATTTATTTCACAGAAATTTTATTTCTATGCGAATTGGAATGAATTATGATATGTATGTGAACACATACCCACACCCACATATCAATTATTGTAAAATGGGGGTATATCTAACTAGGGAAATGGGCTGCAGAGGCTGCATAACCTTGGGAGTACCCTTTACACTCTTATTCACTCTTTCTGGGAAGACCTGATTTTTCCTGAGCTGTCTCTGGAATGGTAATCTGACATCTGGAAAGAGCAGTACAAAAGTTACCCTAGCAGCCAAAGATAAGACAACTTAGAATAGTCCTCGTGATTCTTTGCAGCTGATGGCGACTGATAAGATCTGTTTTTCATAGGCACTCTCTGTGGCTGAAGGATCGCTTACTTCCAAACACAGTAATCTCAGCCATTAAGGCCCATTACAGCTCCCGCCCCCCCAGTCTACAATTCAAGACTCAGACACTCTCTGCTACATTCTGAGAAGGCTGAAACATGACTCGGATTTTCTTGGAGGAGTCTTGTTGACCCTGTTCTTTTGGAAGGGCAGTGAAGCTTTCCCATTGTGGTGTTCCTAGCTGCTTTGGGGGAGGCCTAAAAGTTATCACATGGCAAAGCAATTTCATGAATCGTCTATACCAAGGGTGGGGAACCTTTGACCTCAAGACCACATGTCCTCTGGGTCCTCAAGTGCAGCCCTTTGACTGAATCCAGACTTCACAGAACAAATCCCCTTAATAAAAGGGTTTGTTCTGTAAAACTTAGACTCAGTCAACAGGCTGCACTCAAAGACCTAGACTCTATACTGTGGTAACTGCAGTGTTGGCTGTTTGGTCATCTCTAACAAGCAGCCATCTCCTATATTGCCATATGGTTTTGTAGTTTCAGAAAGAAACAATGATTTGAATCCTAATTATTTCCCTTAAAGCATAAAGCCTCCATCTTTGTTGGAACCTCGGGAAAGCTTAGAGCCCAGTTTCCTATCCCAGAGACAGAGTGTGCTGGAAAATCAAATGAATGCATATGAAAACCACTTTAGTACCATGAAACTTTGTTATAATGGTGGCTTCCCACTCCCACCCCCCTTTTGTGGCACTGAATTTTTGGAACTCTGCCTTTGTTGGAAAATGCAAAAATAATTCAAGTTAACATTATAATTTTGTATGCTCTAAGGACTTGGAGTAAAATAAACTTAAAAGTCAAAACATTGTTTATATTTATCAAGGATGGTAACTATAGGTCTTATCTCACTGGGGACATACTTTCTGGGGGAAAAAAAAAGCAACAACCCATATTTGGATATAAATGGCATGCCCCAGAACTTTTAAGATTTTGTGTATCATAAACCTGAAAACATATCCTTGAAGAAATATCAATGTATAAGAAATCTGAATTGTTTCTGCTGAATTTTATTATAATTCTCCAAAACTAAACCTAACCGTTAGTGTTAGATTTTCCCAACAGAACAAAGCTCCATGTATTTATCTAATTATTTTGCGGTTTAATCTATCTGAGATTGCATTTGGGCCTTTAGCAATTAGATTTAGGTAATAATGAAACCCCTCTGTCTGCACAGATCTCTCCAAATAATGTGAATATACAAAGGCAGAGTTATGAGAAATGAGTGGAACACCTCATAATTGGGCCTAATTATCCTTCCCACTGGCTATAGCTGTGTTTAACAAATGCCAGAGAAATCAATCTCTTCCAGTGGATTACTCTCAGATATCTTTGCAGTGTGGTGGAGATAGCCACATTTGAGCCATTAGGAAATTAGTAAGATTGAATGAATTTGGGGTAGCTAGGTTACACAGTTGTAGCACTGGCCCTGGAGTCAGAAGGACCTGAGTTCAAATCCAGCCTCAGAAACTTGACACTTACTAGCTATATGACCCTGAGTAAGTCACTTAACCCCAATTGCCTCACCTCCCCCTCCTTATTTCCCCATCTCCTGCCAAAAAAAGAAAGAAAGAATGAATTAATTCAATGTGTTGAATTCAGGGAGTTAAATGGAATAGCTTGGACCTTGCTCTTGCCCAGGAGTTTCCTCCTATTAGCAGTAAACCTAGGCATTTTGACTGTCCCAAAGTAATCCCCAGATAGCAAGCCTCAGATCTGTGGTCTGTTCCCAGTTTTTCTACTTTCTAGCCACTGTGGTGATGTGACTTTTCATGAGTCATTTAACCAATCTGAGCCTCAGTTAAAGCATCTTATGTGTAACATGCAGAGGTATGATGAGATGGCCTGTAAAATCCCTCCAAACTCTAAAATGCCATAATTATATGGCATTTTGGTGACCAGGATGGTTCTGAGAGGTTAAGTCAACATTTGATTGGCCAAGGCCAGAATTAGCCTAGAATTCTAGAGCAGTAATCTCAAAACTTTTTTCTTTTGATTTACCATAAACAGTCTCTTTTCCAAGTTCACTTGGAGCTGGTATATTTGGTGACAGCTTTGGTGTCCTCAGACACCACATGTTTGTCCAGTTACCCAAATAGCAGCAAATGTAAAGCTATCTGAACCTCCCAGGATGTCAGGGTGGCATAGCCTGCAGGTTGCCTTCCCACTAGACTTTTGAACACAGCATTCACCAGCAAGTTCATGATGCTTGTGGCCTTGGAAGAGATGCCATCATCTGAGTGCACCTGTTTTAACACTTAACATGTCAGTACACACACACACACACACACACACACACACACACACACACACACACACACAGGTTTCCTTTTGGGTCCCCTCCAACTCTGCTTGGAACTTTTGTCCCCTAGTTACTCCCAGGAAATAGTGACTGCTGTTCCTGTCCAGACTTGGCACTCATCTTCGAGATAGTAAATTCATGTGATGCATCTTATGTTACATATACGTGGGACTAAATGTGAACCAAATGCTGAAAGAACTCCAACTTATGTCATATGTAGAATAGCTGAAGAACCTGGGAATATTTAGTCTAGAGAAGACTTAGGTGAGAAATGATCATGGTTTCAAATATTTAGATGTCTGTCATGTGAAGGAGGATCAGACTTATCCTTTTTAGTGCCAAAGAACAGAGCTAGGAACCACAGGTAGAATTTGTGGGGGAAATCTAAGGGTTGTGACAGACCCTAGAGGCCCTTCATTTCAGAGGCCATTTAGGTCAACCTAGACCAAAGAGCCTCTACACCATCACCAAGAAGTGGTCATTGAATCTCTGAAGACCTCCAATAAGGAAAATTTTTAAAATAATACTTCAAATTACATAGCACATCAAAGTTTGCAAAGCACTTTGCATAGTATTATCCCATTTGATTTTTACTCAAACCCTGGGAAGTAAGTACTGCCTGTTACTATAGATAATAACAAAATGTTATCCTGTCCTGAGGAGACCAAGGCTCAGTGTCCATACTCATACATGAAGTAAATGGCAAAGGCAAGATTTGAACCCAGTTCTTTCTGATTCTCAGTCTAATATTTTGTCTACTCTGTAACACTACCTTTCTCATAGAATTGTCCAGAGATGGAATGAGTTGTTTTGGGGATGGAAGCCTTTCTCTACTGGTCTTTAAGCAAAGTCAGGATAACCACTTAAAAGGGATTTTGTAGATGAGAGCCACACATTAAGTATTTGGATTAAACAGCTGCTGAAGTCCCCTCCAACTCTGAAATTATGTGGATTTTATGATTTTGTTGTATGAGAGGAAGGAAAATTGGGAGAGAAATGGATTGATGGTTTTTTTTAAATTTTGCCTATACATCTCCCTTCTTCTTTTTGGAGTCTGATAAGATTAAAATATTGAAAAATACCATTTGGCATGACTGGAATTTTCCCTTATTTAGCTCATACTACTTTTGTGTCTCTCTTTTTGTCCTTTTACTGCTTTGGGGGAGTAGAAGAGAGAAGAGAAAAGCACTTCTTTAGGGAGAACTCTGTGTACTTTCTATTAGCATTCACACTTTCTGTGTCCTTCCTCATTCACTGTGGAAGAACAGCCATGCTGGAATGAATCTGGTACTGGCATATATTCTGCATTTGAAAAACATCTTGAGCCTCTCATCAATTTTTTCCATGTTATATAAGATGTGCTTTTGTCACCTCCCCCCTCCTTTCTTCACACACATACATTCATTTCTTACCTCCTTGAGTACTGCTGATGGAATAAGGGGTGAGGGGGAGAGGAGGAATGAGCTTAACATGTATCAGCTTTTTTCTTCTCAGAAGAATCAGTGACCAATGGAGAAGCATTCTATAGCTCACTTGCTTTGGGGCATAAACGAAATAAGGCTACCACTGTCCTTTTACCTACTGCTTATTGATCTGTGAAGGATTCAAAGGGGCAGCTAGGTTGTGCAGTGGATAGAACATGGAATTAGGATGATCTGAATTCAAATGTGGCCTCAGACACTTACTAGCTGTGTGACCCTAGGCAAGTCACTTAATCCTGCTTACCTCAGTTTCCTCATCTATAAAATGAACTGGAGAAGGAAATGACAAACCACTCCATTGTCTTTTCAAGAAAACCCCAGATAGGGTCATGAGGAGTCAGACATGATTGAATGACTGAACAACAACAACAACAAAAGAAGGAATGAAAGTAAATGCAGTTGCTGAGCTTCTTTGCATGGTGGAAAAAATGATTCTAGATTTAAAGTCAGAGACTCAGGTTCAAAATCCAGCTCTGCTACTTCTTGCTGATATACTTTTGGGCAAGTCACTTGACTTTTCTAGGCCTCAGTTTCCTCATCTGCAACATGGGGACATTGAACTAGGTTCCTTCTAGCTCTATCTCTGTGACCTTAGAATGCCGTGAAAACCTTCCCGTCATGAATTCATTCCCATGAATTCAATGATTTTGGCAGGAAGAATTTGGCAAACAACATAATGCAATCAGCAGTATCATTTAAAAAAATATGAACGATAGCAACTTAACTAATACTTTTTCAGATAGTTGCACACAGAGTTGTAGAGGTTTGGATATTCACACTTTGAAAGTTACCCAAAGTATGGTCTTCCTTCAGTGAGCATTTTTGAGGGATGCTCAGATCTCCTTTTAGATCCTCAGCCTAGAAAACAAACCTTGTAAAGGCAGTAAAGTGTCAGCTGTTTTGGTCAGCTGTAATTAAAAGCTGAACTGTGATTGATTCCAATGTGTTCCTTAGCTGGTCTGAATCTGTTTGGAATCCACTTTTTCTGCAGGGGTGGATGATCTAGGCTGGAATTTGGCATTTGTTCAGGACCTCCTCTGCTCTAGCACCATCCTTCTGTACCTGCCTTTTTGCAGTTTTCATTGCTTGTTATTACTGCCACTGGAGAGCTAGAAAGGGGGAAAAAGGTGGAATGTCCATCAGTTAGGATCCTAGAAAGCAGCTGTATCCTAAAAGGCATAATTAATGGACTAGGATGTATTGGCTAAAATTAGGTTTGTGGATTAATAGGATGTTTGAGTTTATGAAGCCTATCCCCATTCCCCTTCATCGTGACTAATTGGCATTTATCTGCATGTTTGTTTTTCATGGAGGCATTACAAACTTACTAGGGAAATTTTGGTTACAGGCTTACACAATTCAAAGGGCAGATCCCCTGCTGCCAAGTGGATAACACTCCCTCATTCAAAATAGTCAAGTGTGCTGTGGTTAGTCTACCTTGCTGCCTAGAGCATCCTGCTAATGAGGACAAGGTCATGGATTCATTTCCTTGTGATATTTGGTTTGTTTTGCTGTGTTCCAGACTAAGGTGGTCCCGCCATCTCACAAATACGTGCCATTGGTGAGAGACTATGGCTGGTCAATACAGATATTTCACTGTGGCTTTGGGGGGAAAGCCCATTACCATGTCTTAACACTGATGGACTGCACTGTGGCAATAACATGAGAAGACATAAAATGTTGGGATGAGGCAAATGCTTGTATGGTCTCTCATCAAAGTGAATGATTGTGATGTAAACTCTTAGCATAAAGAGCATCTTAATTTATGGCTATTAATCAAAATAAAGTTATTTCCTCCTGGGAAAAAGAAAACATTGATGGGCTAGCAACCTCATCTCTAGAAGAGGACAGCATATCCTTTCATATTCCTTGCTTTTTGTTCCTTATCCTAACATCAGTAAGTGTCCAACCACAGGCTCTGCCATGTGTCTTATAGTAGTGTCACTTTCCCTCAGAGATGCACAGGGCCTCTTAAATTGTAAAGCATCTATTGTCTATGTGAGGCAACAGTAGGTAAAGTGGGGCCATAGATGAAAAGATTTGGGATAAAGTGTAAACCTCTCTTCGTATGTTTTATCCCTCAGTGAATTGTTCATTTTTACATCTTATTGCCTAAGGATGTTACTCCCAAACTAGTGCTTATCATTTATGCCTACTTCCTGGCACAAAACAGGAGGAGATAGCTCTTTTGCCGCTTTGTACTTAGCCTTTTCCCTAATTATCTGTAAAGAAGGTTGTAAAGGTGTAGCATGAAAGGAAACTGTACCCACAACCTTTTTTTTTTAATATAAAATGTACATTGCTCTAATTCAGAATAAGTATGAATGTGTGGAACCCCTGTGAATTAGCTCAACTGTTCTGGATAATTTAATTTTGAGAGGGGTAGTATAGAAGTCCTAGCAAGACCTAGGTTCATGTACTACCTTCAGCATTGTTGTTGTGTCATTTCAGTAGTGCCTGACTCTTCATGACCCTAGTTTTCTTGGCAGTGATGCTGCAGTGGTTTGCCATTTCCTTCTTCAGCTCATTTTGCAGATAAAGAAACTGAGGCAAAGAGGGTTAAGTGACTTGTCCAGGGTCTGAAGATGGATTTGAACTCATGAAGAGGAGTTTTTTCGATTCCAAGCCTAGTGCTCTATCCACTACACCACTTAGCTGCCCCTACTACGTTCAGTATGTATTAGCTTTATAGGCAAGTCATTTAACTTTATAAACTTCAGTTTCCTCATCTGTAAAATGAGAATTATGACATTTGTATTATCTACCTCGTGGGGCTATTATGAGGATCAAATAAGATAGTATGTGTGAAGTTTCTATAAACCTTAAAAGTTCTATAGAGGTCAGAGTGTTAAATTGGTTAAATTGGTAAAGTGGATGCTTTGGTTAATGTCAGTTATTACTAAGTTGTGAAAGCTTATTTACTTATAAAGCAATAACCCAAGGACATCCTTCAGTTCGAGGGTACTCTTTTATGCCGAGAGCTGGGCAAGGTGTGTGGAGATGTCAGGGTATCAGAACCTGTTAGGCTGGAGGCTTTTCTTGAGAACCAGCTGTAGCTGAGTTGACATTGCTATTTATTTTGTAAGCAGACAAATCCACCCAGATTAACAGCCTATCAGTGTTGCCATGATTTAATGATAGCCATATCAGTTTCACTGGAAAAACAATTTCAGAAGCCCTTCTCTTCCTGTTCAAAGAAATACTTTAAAAGAAGCTACCAATTATTCCATCTACCACACTGCCTTTTTTCATTTATGATTGGTTTCCTGTATGTTCTTTGTGAAATGCTTAGAGTGTGCGGATTGAAGTACTGTGATTTTTTAAGCATTTTTTTTAAAGACATGTTTTGCTGTTAGCTACAGAAAACTGACAAGGAACTAAATTCAAAACTATGGAAAATGAAATGCCCTGACATTCGTTCCCATTAACTAGTGCTAACATTAATCTTTATTTGTTTGAAGATACCTCGGTATATTATAACACTCCATGAACTTCTTGCTCATACCCCTCACGAACACGTGGAAAGGAAGAGTCTGGAATTTGCAAAATCAAAACTAGAAGAACTCTCAAGGTATGCTGGCAACCTTTCTCCCATGATGTGACTTGCCAGAGTAGTGAGGTAGACAGTGTTGTTTACATTGAAATCTTCCACGTTATAGACTTGGGGACTAGCAGGGAGCATTTGTGTAGTATCTTCCTATATGGAAGCCTAATATAGCGACTTATCCAATAGAAAGTTGGTAATATGATGATGATGATTTGGGATATAATGTGTACCCCTCTGTGTGTTTTTTCTCTCAGTTAACGGTTCCTTCCCTCATCTAATTACCTACAGATATTACCAAAAATGGTTCCTTCTCATTCACATTGGTTTTAAACAAAGAAAAAAAATTAGTGATGGTATTCTTCATTGAAATAAAAAATTCTGATGTATGAATTTTTGTGATTGAGGTTAGGTGCATTTCTGGGGATGAACTTGGAGATATTCCTATTATAGTTTTAGTAGCATTTATTGTGTTCTTCAAACCCATCATCTGTTATAATGTATGATGCCTCATTTCACAAGAATTCAGGGATGTGCTGCTGAAATACAACATTATTTGTGCTGTAAAGCCCTATTAACATGAAAACAGATTCTTACTTTTCATTCCTTGGGCACTTATTGACATTTATGCTGTTTTAGTGTCTGTGGTATAAAGCTCACTAGTTTCTTCTGCAGTCCGAGTAATGGTGTCCTCAGTGCTGCTAGGAGAATTTTTATAAAAATAATATTATTTTTAAGATGTGTTTGTACAAATATTTTCAATATACTCATTATCCCCATTTATTACTTGAAATAATTAAGCATAGCTTTGCTTTGTTTGGGACTTTCGGCATTAAGAATCCCTGAAGATTGAGTTGGTACCAGCACACTCCTGAGTTTTTGGGGGGTTCAGAGCAGGGAGGATCTGGCTATGTTATCTTTTTTTCTTTCCTTACTTTGACTTAATGGTAGAAAATGCAACATATGAAACATCTCTGTTTACATTGTGTCTGACAGGATAATGCATGATGAAGTGAGTGATACTGAGAACATACGGAAAAACCTTGCCATAGAAAGAATGATAGTGGAAGGCTGTGATATATTGTTAGATACCAGCCAGACTTTTATTCGACAAGGTAAGCCTTTGTATAGTCATGGTAGACACAACTATAACATTATACTTGGCAGCTCTAGAAACAGGGCATTTGGGGAAACACGTGATGCTATAAAGCCGATGCTGTTCACCTAGGACAAGTAATATATAACAAATTGTCCCCCTTTAGCAGGTGAGTTTCGGGCTATGGCTGAGGCCCACCCTTGTGCTGTTTCTTTTCAGGGGCCATGAAAAACAGCAACACAATAATAGTAAAGCATGAATGGGCCAGTAAATTGCATTCTGACTGGACTATCATCCTCAATGGACCGGATATTATCTACAGCTCCGTGGAAAACAGGTCTGTCTGGCCAATTGACGTTGCCATGTCAGGCGATGATGACATCCAGGCAAAAGCACAAGAGAAACTTGAACTGCTAAAAGCTCTCTCACAAAGCAGTGGAGAAAATGTGCGGAGCGAAAACAGCTGCCTCTTGTTCCCATTTTTCATCAGCACTTCAGGAACGGCCCCACACAATATAATTTGATTACACTTGGTAACTTTGGCTGCCAGATGAAATGACATGTCATGGCTGACATCAGCTGGAACAAGTGTTGGCAGCTATTGGGTAATGGTCAATTTAACACATGCCTCCCTGTTTATGCCATGTGTTTTGGGGGACACATCCTGGTAAATGAAGCTTTGGACCGCAGAAGAGCCTTTGTGCCAAAGGAGTGGAGAAGAAACAGTGTATTGCTAGTGCATATGCATAACTATTCTTCAATTCGTAGAAGATAAATATGGATGGCATCCTCAGTTGTCCTTAAAGGGTGCTTTGGGGGGCTTAGGTGTTGTGCTAGGAATGTCTTGAAGCGGTAGGATCCTCTACCACAATTTTTGGGTGGCATAAATACAGCATTCATAAATAAGCCGTGGATAAGAACTAACTCATTGGAAGGGCTTATACTAATGATGTGGCTAATGTTATTTGAGGAAATTGGTGTAAAAACTGTTATGCCAAAATACACTTAGCAAAAGTAATTATTGTCACTGTGTTTTTACCTTATCTAATGAGACACATCAATCACACTGTGCACATTACTGGAAAAATTTAATGCATGCCATTCTGTTTTCTCTGACTTGTTTACAAAGATAGAAAACTCAAATTATGTTAAGAAAACTTGGGAATATTCTTTGTGTACACATTAGCTTTCTTATACTGACTTCATGCTCTCTAACATTCTTTGAACAATAATGGAATATAAAGTGATTTTAGTAGAATTAATTTACTTTGGCTTTATAATGAGCTCTTTTTTTGGTCTCTTATTATCTTTATAATGAATTGATGTGGCCTTGTCATACATGTACTATTGCTGTAATGTCTCTGTAGTCATTGGAAATATTGATGAACATTGACCTGAGGTACAAAAAAATCTGAGAAAAAGACAGAGAAGCTTCTAGAATTAATTTATTTTTCTCAGAATTAAATCTGTTATGGAAGGACTTGCATGAAAAAGTATTGTTATTGAAAATTTTTTATGAACATTTATCACATTCTTGCCACACAAATTTTCTGTCTCAATTTGAGAAAGTTACTGTAATAGAAAATATTGGGAGTGTAAATATGTTGCACAGGTTGCCTTCTTTAATTTTGTCTGGGGGAAAAACTTTTCATGAATGGCACCCCTCTCTGATTAATAGCTTTATGATATTTATGCAATTCTGTGAGCTGCAAATGTGGCCCATCTTTGTCAGTTCTTAATAATTCTGCTTCTGTTATTACAGTATTTATAGCTCACAAGTGTTCTTAAAATGATTTGCCTTTCAGCATTTTTTCTGTGTTCTTGTTTTGGTTCTGATGGCATGTTTAGGAATGGCTTAATAAAGGTTATTTTAAAAAAATTAAAATGAAAAGTAGCCTGGTCAATGACAATATAGAAACATTGGTACTAGTGACACCATTTTGATCTGGTCACCTTCTTGATGACCACTTCATTAAATAATCATCATGACTTTAAAGATACCTGCTACTGTCTCAGAGTTCTAACTCGGAAGTGTTAAAAAGTATAACATTCTCCAGGAAAGACCCTACATCTTTTTTCTTCAAGAGTGTGATGGAATTTGAGTTGTTCTCACTTTGGGGCAGGATAAGAGGCCTAGTTATTGTTTTTTTTTTAAATTGAAATGAAGTTTATTTGGGGGATTTAGGAACTAGCTAGTCCATTTCTGATGTGGTCATCCTTTGATGATTATTTATGTACGTAGATTAAAAGGTTACAGGACAATTAAGTATGTTTAAATTCTGAAAATTATTTATGCCAATTAAAATATAATTCCATTTCTCTATTAATTTAATTTAATTATTTGTTATTTATTTTTATTTGATTAATATTTTATCTGTTCTTTTAAATTTGGAAAAATAATTTTAAAATAGAGCCACCTTGAAGGGAAAAAGAAATAGTGTGTTATATATATATATATATATATATATATATCTTACATATACATGTTATATATTACATATATAAATAATATGTATATGTAAGATGCATATGTATGTATATATATTTGTGTGTATACACATATTTTTTCTTTTAAAAAACTTTCCTCCTTTACCCAACCCCCATATATCCTATTACTAAAAATATATAATGGAATCTTTAAAAAATAAATCTGTAGATCTTTGAAAATATCTTTATCTTCTGTTGTATATAGGATTATCCCTAAAAAATAAAACCCAGATTGTGTAGCCTCATGGTTATATATGAAATATTTATTAAAAAATAAAAGTACCTGAAATAAATACAGGGCATACCAAAAAGTTTTTTGAGACACTTTATATATTGCAGAGAAAACCGAATGCCAGAGTATCATCTAGTTTGCCTTTTCTACTATTAATAGTGCCTTGGCATTCAGTAAAAGTTAATACTCTTCCCAAGTGATAAATTGAATATACTAGAACATCATTATAAGCTTCTGCATTGTAGATTGTTTTCAGTATAATCAATTTGCCATTGTCCTGATTCAGACTGACCAAAGGTCCTGAATACAATATACAATGAAGACAGATCACAACCCATGTATCTCATGTGACTCTTGATCATGTCCTTACCGAAAATTGCCCCAGGATCTCCAACCATTGTGCTAGGGTCACTTCTCATGTTCTCTTGACCTTGTTATTTTGACTCTATCAAAGTTTTTTGGTGGTTTCATATTACTTACAAGTTAAGAGTTTCTTAGTCTAGCATCTGGTGCCCTCCAAAGCCTGACTAATTCTTCCCTCTCATTGTGATTTCACGCCACTCTTCTTCATGTACTCTCTTTTCCCTGCTAAAATCTCCCTGTTTTTGCCTGCATTTATAACCCATCTGACTAGGCTAAAGGACCTGCTCCATACCAGTGCCTATTGAAGTCAAGACTTGGTTCAGGCGCCATTTTCCTTAACCTTTTGTTGATTCTGATCTCTTCCTCTTCTAGTTTCTCATAGCAGTTTGTACTTCTACTTTGCATTTAATCACATTCTGCTATGTATCATACTTGTATGTTGTACAAATATTTATCTGAAAAATCACTTTAAATTGTTATATTTCCTGATGGCAAAAACCATAATTTTTTTTGTAGTCCCAAAGTCTAGTTCTCTGTGCTTTAGACATATTAGGCACCTAATTCATACTCGTGTTGAATTGTTGAATTGAACTCCATAGTGGACTTCATCTCAAGAAGTTTAGTCATTGCTGAAATACCTTTGGTATTTCAGACTATACTATAAGACCGCCTCACTAATAGATGGTTCAGTGGTTTTGACCTTCCTAGGACAATGTGATTGTGACATTCCAGTGGCTTGGGCATCAGATTCAATGAAGAACATCTGATTAAATATAAGGCATTTAATTTCAGTCCTTTTTTAGTTGTGTCTGATTTTGTGACCCGATATGGGGTTTTCTTAGTAAAGATACTGGAGTGGTTTGCCATTTCCTTCTCCAGTTCATTTTACAGATGAGGACTCTAAGGCAGATAGGGTGAAGTGACTTGCCCAGGGTCACACAGCTAGTAAATGTCTGAGGCCAGATTTTAACTCAGAAAGATATAATTTCAGGCCCTGCACTCTATCCACTGCACACCTAGCTGCCCTTTTAAGAAGCTGAGTCCTTGCTGACTATTTGACCAGTCATTGCTGATATTTCAGATTATATTATAAGGTGGTCTTACTAATAGATGGTTCAATGGCTTTGACCTTCCCAGGACAATGTGATCATGACATTCCAGTGGCATCTGGATTTAATGAAGGGCATCTGATTAAATATAAGGCATTTAATTAATCTCTTAACTAGAAGGGAGTCACTCTTTTAGCCCTAGGAGCTCCTTCTAATCTTATGTGATAGTTTCAGCACTTAAAGGAACATAGAAAAATCCTCACACTAAATTTATCCAACTGTAGAGTTCATTGAATAATATTGAAACCAATTGGACATATCTTGTCATGAGGGATATCAGAAGACATGAATCTCTTGGTTCACCTCATTGCTGCCGACTGAGTCCCTACGTTTGCCTGAAATGGGAAAATGAGGCTGTAAATATAGCTGCTTTCAAAGTCAGTGTTATCCTGACAATAATGATCCAACCACAAAATGGTCTGAAGATCTTAGGGACTTTTTGTTTTTACACTGAAATAAACTAAGGGAGCTGGTGCCACTTACAAAGTACCAATCTAGGTTAAAGAGATAAGGCTAAACACAGAGATGGCTAAAGTTCTTTTGGAATCAGAGAATGTACTAATAGATATTTGTTAGTCATTTGAACTCTTTCTTCATGTACTTACATCCATGGGCAAAAGGGGCCTGTTCTACGCAGCTGGAACCAATATGACATCAAACATCTGGATGAAAAATGAAATTCACTTAGTAGATGGTGTTTCCAAACATGTGGTTTACTTGCGTTTTGCTGACAAATTGCCCAGTGTCATCACTTAATTTTTCACTTTTCATTCATACATTTGTTTTTTTTGTAGCGAAAGCCAAAATATGCTCAATGACTGGAACAGT